CCAAGCCCCCAGCTGAAATTCCCCTTCCCTAGGAAGTGTTCTCACTAAGGGCTGAAACTGGACCTGAATTTTGTAGTTAGCCCCAAACCTTACAATAAGCAAATACTGGACATCAAAGGGTGGAGTGTTCTGATACCAAGTCTGCAATCTCATTAGACTTATTGGTCCCATCTTTGCCAACTCAGCACATGATGACATTTGTGGCATTTGTTTCTGAGGAAGAGCAATGTGGAATCCTAAGTCTTGTGATACTGCTGAGTTTTCAGTGCACAAGAAATAAAAGAAATGAAGATCTAGCAGATATTTAGGATAAATAGAATAAGATGTAACTGCACTTCCTTGCTGGAAACCACTGCACAAAACAAATGCTGATTTACAGTAAAATATTAAATTATTAAAAACCACACAAGCGTTTGCAGTTATAGTGAGTCAGACATGCTGATTGGAAAACAAAACCAAACACGGAGAGCAAAACCATTCATTTTGCCCTGTCTGGAAGGCTGCAGTGATACTTGGCTATGTTCTGATGTGACTTACACAGCGTGCCAGAAGACCTCCTAAATAAGAAGGCCAGTGGTTCTCAAGCTTTTTCATTATGAGGACTCTCTCTTTCCTCCAGCTCACACACCTTCCCAACACCAATTTCACAGCTTCACTACAGCAGCTACAGCACTTGGTTGTTTGAAAAAGTCATAGGACTGTTAGAAATTAAACGAACCCTATTTAAAAGCAAATGCTGAATCCTGCCCCTGCTGACCCTGAAGCAAGCCTGCTATTCTGGATCTGAGCTGTCTCCTTCCTCTCCTGGAGGGCAGCACTTAGTATTAATTAGCACTGTTTCCCTATTCTGCTAAGTCCTCTCTACAGCCCTTCCTTTCCATCCCTTTGAAGTTGGATTCTGCCTTCACACATGCCAGCTGCTTTCCTTCCCTTCACATTTTAATGCCAGCTGCAAGTCTGGTCAGGCCTCAATTGGCATCAAACAGAAGAAAAAGAAAGACATAAAAGAGGTACGTGGGGTGAAGAGGGATGATGGATCTTCATTTTTTATAATTTCATCGCTCATCAAAATGTCTGAAACTCTTAAAAGAGCCCCAAACTGAGGAAGCAGCAACTGTCACTGTGTGAAATAAGCCAGGTGTTCAAATTCAGTATGGGGTAGAAGCAGATCCGCAGATCAGTTTGAGAACCACTGAGGTAGGCAACAAGTCTCGGCAGTACAGGTCTCGGCAGGACTGCTGAGTGAACACAAGAGGAATTCTGCCCTCTTGTCCTGAATGAGTGTAAATACCCATTAGTGTTTTCAGAGGTACCAGTCCCGAAGTCACGCAGCCAGGATCGAAGACAACATCTACACAAGAGCGAGCACGGGCTGAACAGAAAGTGTACTCAGCCCTGATCCAGCAGTCAGTGAGGAGCAGAGCACACACTCTGCCCACCTTAGCTTTGAACTCCTTCCAGTGGGATGCAATCAACCTGTAACCCTACTGCCCTCCTCCCCCCAGTCCAAGGTGCTGTTGGGGTTTCGGTCCTTCCACGCCATCCGCCACTGCAGCCCACGCAGGGGGTGAAAGCTACAAAAGCTGCCCAAGAACTCTGGCCACTGCTGTTCAAAGCCATTCCAGATCTGGCATCAGAGCCCCAGGTAACACAGCACCACATCCCGCCCCAGGGAAGCAGTGTCACTGCTATGTACAGGCTAACAACTTTTCTCTCCCTCTGTCTCCAGCTCATACAGAAGGCTTTTGTCCTCTCCTTCCTGCCCATCTGGATGCCTTTCACCCTCGGCATCGTCTCCAAGGCACAAGGGGCTCATGATGTAGCGATAGTCACTTGTGACAGCAGCAGCTGCCCCAGCAATGGTCTCTTCACCGTCCGTGTTCCCAAAGGAGGCATGCAGGGCAGGGTCACTTGCAGACGCCTCTTTGTCCTTCCCAATGTTGACATAGAGAGGATCTTGACTGGAAGAGAGTATGGACATCCTCCCCCGAATCATTTCCAGCTGGGACCGGAGCACTCCAAAGCTGGGGCGTAGCTTGGGCTCAGGATGCCAACATCTGCACATGAGATCGTAGCTGCAAAATAGAGGGAGACAAGAGCACTGAGAAGCAAAGCAGACACCCCCCGCACCTCAGAACAGGGCTTCTGCACAGTGCAGCTTAAAAAGCATAGACACTTTCCCCAAAATCTATTGGCTTGGGCCTTGCATAAGTGATAGCACGTGGCAGCCATGATGGATCTAATTCTTTGCTCTTTCCCACTCTCATTTTGGTCAAAATCATTACTTAGACAGTATCAAAAAACCCCAAATCCCTGTCAAAGGATGCTGAGCTTCTTGATAAAAACCTCATTCCACCATCTCTGGAGAGCTAGAATAGAACCATGTCAAATGGTGACACCATTTAGTAATAGTTTTTGAATTTATTCACAAAACCCCATCCTGAACAATCCCTGCTGTGATTGAAGCCATCCCTCCAAATTCTAGTTCAAGAGCAGATGAAACACAGGAAGAAACAAAGGAGATCCAACTGTGGGAGGTGAGAGTTACTTCCAGAGTATTATTTTTAACACTGTGTTAACTCAGCACTCCCGTTGTAACAGAGGTGTGCCAGTGTTGCTGCCCAACGGATCGACAGTGAGACTGGAAAAAGGCACAGTGGGTTTGTTTGGAGGGCTGTGGAGGAATGGACAACAGCTTCCCTGCTGGAAGAGGGGTGCTGAAATGGCCTTTCTACCATAAAGGCAGCACCCCTATGCAGAAGACACGTTCAGTGATGTTATCAGCCTCAGGCCCTGTCCTGCAGCATTTCTCCTGTGGTCAAACACCCACCACCTCAGCTCTGGTTGCCCAAGGGCCAGATTGAGGAGACAGAATTATAGAACCATAGAATAGTTTGGGTTGGAAGGGACCTTCAAAGCTCATCTAGTCCAACCCCCCTGCAGTGAGTGGGGACATCTTCAACTAGATCAGGTTGCCCAGGAGCACATCTAAGGATGGTGCATCCACCACTCCTCTGGGCAACCTGCGCCAAGATTTTACCTCCCTCATTGTAAAGAATTTATTCCTCACTTCCAGCCTGAATCTCCCCTCTTTAATTTAATCCATCACCCCTTGTCCTACTGCAACAGGCCCTGGTAAAAAGTCTCTCCCCAAGATGCTGCTGGCTCTGATGGCCTGTGCTGGGCAAGGGGTGAGGAGCTCTGCTCCCCTCCGTCTGCCTGTGCTGACTGGCCTCCCTCCGGAGCCCACTGGGCTGGAGCACAGCCAGAGCCATTGTCCTCCTCCTCTTTGTGCATCACCCACGAGACTGGCAGCTGCATTCCTATGGCGTTATTGTTGCCAGTTCTGCAGGGAGCAGGAACAAAGCACAGTGCTGGCACCGACAAACACCGCACACAAATGAACCTCAGTTAAACTTGTAAGCGGGAAAAATCTGATATGGCCTTTACTGGGAAATAAAGCGTTTCATGATGGCTTTTATTTTGCTTGTTGTGTCCCTTGCTTGCTATCAGCTCTACAAGACTGTTTTTGATCTCACACTAGTTTTACAGAAAGCTTCTATGGTTCAGTTGTTTTAATCCTGATTTACGTCCCTCGCAAATAGTAGAAATAACTCTAAATGCTCCAGAAAACATAGAAACTTCCTGTTCTGTGTCACTATTCTCTTTTATTCTCCCTGGCAAACAGCAGAAATTCATTTGAAAGAAAGGTAGAAACTACTGGCTGTAATGAATCAGCCCAACAGTCCATTTGTCCCAGTACCCTGCGTCTGGCAGTGGCCAATAGCAGACACTTGAAGAAAGCACATAAGCTGAGGGTGAGCACTGTAGTGAGATATTTCTGGTCTCAATAACTTGTAGCTCAAGGGCCTCTCAAAACGGAGGTTGTACCTTTTTACTAGTCTTTGATGGATTTTTTCCTTCAATGCCTGGCAGGTGTTTGAATCTCTCCTCTGCTTTTGGCATCTCTAACATCCTATGGCCGCAACTTGCAATCAAAGCTACTCACAGCAGTTGAGATGGAAACATATATCTAAACAGTGGTGTCATGATGTTTTCATTTAAAGACAAGGAAGAGTTAAAATGAACTGCTGAGAAGATAAGAGTGTACAGGTTTAATGACAAGAGTACAGACTATTTCCTTTGTGGAAAAAAGGCAGGAGAAAGGAACCTGTATGAAATAATTCACCTCCAGAGCAGGAGGGAAGAGGAAGGAAAGAGGACCTCATGTTGTTCATGAGGCCACTGCCTCTGCAATACAGTTTCCTTGTCATCTTGCTAGATCGCTCTTCTATTCGACCTTCAGAGGGTGCCATGAAACTCATCTCCTTTCTCACATACTGGCTTGAGAAGGTAGAGAGCAGCGAGTTTCTGGAAGTACACTTATCATTTCCACAAAGCCAAGAGCTGCTTATTTTGACACTGTTCAAACCCTTGAGCCAAGTTAGCTGCTTGTGTAGCTACCACAGGTTCCAGGGAGCTTTGCCAGCAGAGAGTATCTGGTAGCTAATGCAGAGACTTTCTAGCGAATGCCTCTGTGTACTAGAAAGTGGATAGATTCAGCTCAGCATCCCAGCCAGCTGCCTCTGTTTCCTTCCAGTGAGCCAAGCTTCTCAAGGAATCATATGTCAGCAGGGCAAGGAAGTACTCACACATCTTCCAGGCACTCCGGCGGCTGCTTGAGCCTGTTCCCACTGATGAGGTAGTTGTAGATTTCTGCATTCTCAATGCCAGCATAAGGGGTTTGCCCTCGGGTTACAATCTCCCACATGGTCACCCCGAACGCCCACTGCAAGGGAAAAGAACACACAACCAGTGAACGGACAGTCCCCGGCTCGCTGGGATGAGGTTTCAGTGTGCTCAGACTCTGGCAACCCTCCCGGCCTGGGGTGATGTTATGTGAGCAGCAGGGATGCAAGGACTGTCTCTAGCTAGAAAACAAAGAAATGACACATCATCCTGGGAGACAGCTGAAGGCCCTGCCTGGCCCTATCCTGCAGTGCAGCAGGGGATGATTTGGGAGCTACCACTGCCTTCCACCTGCAGACCTCTCCCAAGCATCTCCTACTGTCGGTTCTTTAAGGTATGAAGTATCAGATTTGTGGTTCCCAGCTACAAGAAGATTTTGGTCTGGGGTTCACAAATCAGTTTAATTCATTGAGCCAGATTCTGAGTTACTGGAAACACGCAGGCACAAATGAAAGCAGTTTAGCCAATAAGCAAGGCAAGGAACAAACCACTTAAGGCTCATGTACATTTGTGCTCTACACTGCAACAGTCATACTTGCACATTTAAATTAAACCACAAGGCTTGCTAGGTGCAAAAAATGATTATTTTCATAAGCAAAAGCCTGTCTGGTGTCTACACAAACTGACTGAACGAGCAACCACCAGTCACTAAACACTGTCTACAGTGGTTACAGAAATCACTGGGCAACACAGCAGCCAAGTTAGAAGGCACTCTTGGTGAGCTCTTCAGGAACACTGTGACAGGGATAAGTAGGAAGGCAAGTCCAAAGGCCTGAAGGACAAAACCAGTGCGAAACCAGATCAAAAGGCAGCAAGGAAGAGGGGAGAAGGCATCAGAACTAAAAAAACCCAAAAACCCCACAAACCAACAAAACCCCAAATGAAAACAAAGGGAAAGGAAGCAAAAATTTCAGATGAATGGGTTCAGCCTCACTCCCCGGGGTGAAGTTATGGGGGAACATCTAAGCTCTGATATATTCACAATCCCTGAAGTTCCACCAATACCTTCTGTAGGATAGTGCAGCACTTCTGCTGCACTCGTACATGTGTGTGGGTTACATGCATTTCAAATGTCACCTTCAAATTGTCATGCAGAAGAGAAAGGAAAAGGAGTAATAGTAAGAAAGAAGAGACTGCATAAAGAGAGGAAAAGAAAAAGGAGATGGTGAAAGGTGAATGAGAGCATGGGGATAAGCACTGAAAAATGAAGGACCAAAGGACAAGAGGAAAAAGGTTCATGTCTTCTGCCATAAACCACTTGCACGTACATTTAGTCTTGAGTTCTGACAGCACCCAAGACAGGTAGCATTGCCCCTCAAACACAAGGCAAACTCCCTTTCCCACCACCAGGGCCTTCTCCCAGCCTCAATGAATACAGAAG